TTAACGGGGGATGTTTTTACGACTTGTTTTGTCGATCGTCATTTTGATAAAATAATTTTTCTAACATTAGGGGAGAAGATAAACAGAATAAGTGATTAGAAATGTTGGAAAAAGAAATTACATTGAATACTTCATCTTTATATCATCTTGATCCCCATACAAAACAATGTGAACTTGAAGTTCGAGAGGATAATTCATTTACAATGTCTTGCAAACCAACCGCTAGATGCATTCTCCGATCCAAAGAGAGTAACTAAATCACATGTTCTCGCTGAGAATGCTCCTATTAAATTTGATGTCCCAGTAGGACAACCTATTAATGTTATAACAAATGAATCTAAAGCACGCCCGAAGCGTGGAAGATCGATCGGTTCTAAAGATAAAAATCCCTAAAAGAAAAAATAATCAAGAAAAAAATATAAAGGAGGCAAATAAAACGAGTCCAAGATATTTTTTATAACAAGCTTCTAAAAGAAGCCCAAATGCTTGAGAAAAATCAAGAAATTTCGATAAATTATGATAACACAGGGAGAATATGGGACCGAAAAGAAACATTCATTGATAATATCTTTGCATATAATGTGACAATTGATATTTTGAATAAGGATCCCGAGCCTAATTCATTAAAGAATGTCGACATAGAGATGATTAGCCTAAGTGGAAAAATGCAATTCGGGAAGAATTAAAGTCTCTCACAAAACGAGCGAGTTTTGGACCCATAGTTAAAACACTCGAAGATGTTAAGTCAATAAGATACAAATGGGTATTTGTGAGAAAACAAAATGAAAAAAATGAAATTGTGAGATATAAAGCAAGACTTGTAGCACAAGGGTTTTCACAAAGACTCGGCATTGATTATGAAGAGGCATATTCTTCTATAATCGATGCAATTACATTTCGTTATCTTATTAGCTTGACGAGCATGTGAAAAAATTCATATGCATTTAATGGATATAATAACAGACCTATTTATATGGGTCACTTGATAATGATATCTATATGAAAGTCTCAAAAGGACTTAAAATGCCCGAAGCATATAAAATACATTCTCGAGAGATGTATTAGATTAAATTATAAAAATCTCTAAATGGATTGAAACAATGCTGGACGTATGTGGTATAATCATCTTAGTGATTATTTATTAAAAGAAGGTTATAAAAATAAACCAATTTGTCCATGTGTCTTTATAAAGAAATTCAAAAAGGGTTTGTGATAATTGTTGTATATGTTGATGATTTAAATATAATTGGAACTCCTAAAGAGATTTTAAATGTCATAAATTATTTAAAAGGAGAATTTGATATGAAAGATCTTGGAAAAATAAAATTTTATCTCGGATCTGCAGTTCGAACACTTAAAAGTTAGAATTTTTATTCATCGGTCAACATATATAGAAAAAGTACTATAAAGATTCTACATGGATAAGGCTCATCCATTGACTAGCCCAATGGTAGTTCGTTCACTTGATGTTCAAAAGGACCCTTTTCGACCTCGAGAAGATAACGAAGAACTTCTTAGTCCCGAAGTACCATACATTAGTGTAATTGGTGCATTAATGTATCTTGCTAATAATACTCGACCTGATATAGCATTTTCTATAAATTTATTTACAAGATATAGTTACGCTCCAACACGAAGACATTGGAATGGAATTAAGCATATATTATGTTATCTTCGAGGAAAAATTGATATGGACTTATATTACTCTAACAAATCAAAGACTCGGATTAATTGGTTATGCGGATACGAGTTATTTATCGATCCACACAAAGCTCGATCTCAAGCTGGTTATGTATTTACATATGGAGATACGAGCTATATCATGGCGTTCTCCGAAGCAAACTATAGCTGCCACATCTTCAAACCATGCGTAAATACTAACAATTCATGAGGCAAGTTGAGAATGTATTTGGTTAAGATTAATGACCCATCATATTCAAGAGACATGCGATTTATCCACTAGTAAGGAAGTTCCAACGAGTCTTGTATGAAGATAATATCGCTCGCATAGCTCAATTAAAGGAAGGATGCATCAAAGGTGACGGAACAAAGCATATATCACCAAAATTATTTTTCACACATGATCTTCAATGAAATAGTGATATTAATGTTCAATAAATTTGATCAAGTGACAATCCAACAGATTTGTTCACAAAGGCATTACCTACCATAACTTTTGAGAGGATGATTCACAAGATTGGAAGGCGTCATCTTAAAGATCTTAAACAATGTCTTCGATAGGGGAGACCAAAATGGGTATTAATATGTGCAAGGAATAATGTACTCTTTTTCCTTCACTAGGATTTTTTTTCCCACTGGGTTTTTTCCTAATAAGGTTTTAACGAGGCATATTCCTTGTACAATGAACATTCAAGAGTGAGTGTTATAAAATAATGAATGTCCATATGAATGTCCATCTACTTTTTATATCCCCACTACTCATGATCCTTAATATGATTCAATTCACCATTCAATATGAGAAATTGAAAGGGTGATGCAATTGATGTACTTTTAATTATTCATAGTCCCTTTCAATTCTCATCTCAATTTTGAGGCATCTAAATAAGCTTGATTGTCCATTTGTTGATGTATAAGTTTTTAGAGAGATTAAGAGAATAACTTGAAGTTTTTCTCACTTGTATTCACTTTATAGTGAATTATTCTTCTTGTCATCCTTCCTTTAAATTCTCATATTACTTTTATTTTTTCACAACAAGATCTATCTTTTTGGATGAATATTATTAACGCTTATTAAGCAATTATGTTATTGATTTTTTGATAGTCGAATTTGGTTTAGCTTGGAATATAAAGGGAGTATCATCGTCTTGCATTGGTAGACCTTTTGCAACAATATTTAGTGACTAGAACTTGATTATGTATTATGAAGCAATGTGGGTTTTTTTTTTTTAGTTTTTAAAATGACTTTTGAATACTATTTTTTTATGAAAAAAATATTTAGCAATAAATATTAATTATATAAAAAAATTGCATCTCTATTTCGTCACCGATTCAAACAAGTCACTATTCTATCTTTACTCCGTCATTGATTCAAACAGAGGTTATTCTATTGCTATTTGCTTTTTATTTAGAGACGAATGTCCGTATATCACTAATTTACATCGCTATTTAGTGAAATTCGATAATGATACTAGCAAGACTCAAATCAAATAGCAGTGGATGAGTAGTCAAAGTTTAATAGATGGACTTTTGAGAATTATGAATTATGAGAGCGAGAAAAGTTATGAAACAAAACCGTGTTTAGCAAAATATGAGCAAAAGTTGAAATCGTCTTATAATTGATCTGAAATTGTTATTCATAGAAAAAAAAAAGATAATCTTTAACCACTAAAATTGTGTTATGTCATTTAGATTTGGATAATAGGATTTGAGTCAAACAAAAGAAAATAGACTAAAAAAAATAGCTAAACTCCATCAATTTGCTAGTAAAAGATTAAAAAAAATATATAACAAATAGGTCATTTTTAGCATATCATGCTCTAAACTGCTATGTCAATCTTTTAAATACATCTCAAAAATAAAACATAAACACTGATCATGTCACAATACTCGCGTTCATTTTTGCTAGGTCAAAATCTTGTGTTATGCAAATTTCATTATCAATTCAATTCATTTATTATAAAATTTGGATCCATGTCAAAACAACAAAAAAATTTATATCCATAACTAATAAAATTATTTAGTTAATTTCGTACCATCAAATCGAGCATGTAACAACACCATCTTCCGCGTGATTGGTAACCATCATATTTACTTTTGGATAGTTCTGGAATCCATTTCAATCAGCAACATTATCAATCCATTTATTGTAGCATAAACAATTAATGGACACCTATCTTTTCGGATGAATATTATTGACACTTATCAAGCAATTATGTAATTGATTTTTTTATAGTCAGAATTTGGCTTAGCTTGGAATATAAAGGGAGTATCACCTTCTTGAATTGGTAGACCTTTTGCAACAATATTTAGTGACTAGAATTTGATTACGCATTATGAAGCAATGTCGTTTTTCTTTTTGTTGAGTTTTTAAAATGACTTTTGAATACTATTTTTTTTATTAAAAACGATGATTAGCAACACATTACTTATATAAAAAAAAAAAAAAATTATATTCATGGCCACTACCACTTCTAAACCAGGCACTGTAAGAAATAAAAATTATACTCACGCTCAATGCTATGAAGATGAAGAAGGTGATCAAAGTTACTTGAGGACAAACATCGTTATCATGTCAATAATAATTAATTAGTGGTTTTGCAATCAAAGTTGGTATTAGTAGTTAATAATTAATAGATTAAACAAGTAATGTTATACTGATAAATTGAATTAGCTACCACTAGAAACAACATTAGCTTTCTTAGATTCTCTTGTAATAAAATATTTTTTACTCAAATGACTTATTTATTCTAGAAACGAAATAATCAGTTTCAAGTTTTAACCCAAAAACATGGCTTGATAAGTTCGGGGCAGACAGATGAGTTGGAGCATAATTCCAAACCGGCCCATATAAAAATTTTTGGGCATATATCATCATCAGCCTTGCATTGTCTCGTTGGTGACATGCCTAAATTGCTTTCTTCTATTTTGTTTGCTTTGGAAAATTTTTAAGAGATTAGTTTGACACTAACCAGTCTCATGTTTTCGTGAGATGAAGTAGAGCAAACCATCAAAAGACCGCAATTCTCATGAATAGAGTAAACCAGAAAAATATAAACCCGCAGCGTTTAAATTTATAAAAAATGACCATTCATCAAAAAGACTGCACATATAAACAAAATCAATGCAAGAGTAGAAGCAATAATTGCAAGCCCACGATCTTGATCTAAGTAAACACTAATTTTCTTCTAATCTAATGTTCCAAATCAGTAATTTCATGATTATCCTTTGAATGAAAAAAAATCAAAACAAACATGAAAAGCCTTGAGAGAAGCCTTCACACTGCATTATGATTGTGAGGAGATGGTAACACGGCGTTGCTGCTATCTTTGCAGCTTCCCGGCAGAATGCAAATACACCGAAACAGAAACAACACTGCAAGAACCAAAAAAGAACAGTCAGCAAACAAAACTGGAGAGCATTTCAAGATAGCAATAATGTCATCCCTCCTGATGTGTTATAAATATAGGAGAACAGTAAGTTTTGTTTAAAACAAAGTAATGCTGTAGACTCATTATCTCTATAGCTAAGATCATTTAGCAAGTATTGCATTCTTAGAGCAAAATGGTTGATACATAGACCACATGACTGTGGCAGATACAGCATATGGCTAAAGGAACCTTACGTTGAGCCAAGGAAGAAAGCAAGGGACAGATGAAAGTCAAACAGAAACACAGAGACAACTGCAGTGAGAAGCATTGCCACTGAAGTAGAATATACCTGCAAAACATTGAAAAGCTAAATAAAGATGGAACTTCAAATAAATTATCAGAAAAGCTGCTGTAAGTGCTCCTTTTTTTTCCCCTCTCTCTTTGGGGTCCAATAAAATTGGAACATGCAATTTCTTTTCTTCGCAAACACTCAACACAAAATATCAGTGTTAAGGCGATGCAAGAAAAAATTTGAAAACAAGCTTTCACATTGATGGAACCACCAACTAGAGTCTCGACCCCTATTTGTCCTCCAACCAGACCAGAGAATATAATGTTTGCGCCATAAGGGGAGTATTTCCAAAATGATTGCACTTTGGAAACTTGGTGAACAATACTAATGTCCAAGAGCCAGAAAGAGAAGCCCTATATCTTTTCAATTGTTGCTAACAACAATTAATGTATTAGAATTAAAATGGTGCTCATTTGGAATATGTCAGGAAAAAGATTGTCACTGTCATGTGCAAGTAAATGGAAATAGGTAAATTCCTGCAACTGCAAAGTCACAATTTGCATATTACCTTTACAATGTTGTCTGCATACTTCATTACCATCGATACAGCAATGCCACTACAAAACAAAATGTTAACACTCAATTTTGATATTAATGACAACCCTGACAATTTTACCTACATACACTTACTGGATAAGGAATTTTTTTTTAATCGTGGCAAAAGCTGCCAGATTACTTCGTATGAATAATTAGCATCTCTAGCACAATTCATGTTTTGTAAGCATAAAGGAAATTTTCAAAGAAATGCAAAAATACCAACTAAATGTTCATTTCAAGTGTAGATATTTATCTACCAAAACCTACTCTTCCAATTGGTTTAAAGAAAGGATAAGATCCTTAGCACAATGCAAGGAGTCTTAAAGGAAAAACACTAATGGTAAGGGCACTGGAATAGTTAGGGGACTGCTATCAATATATTCCTTCTATTGGCAAGTCTGTTTCTGAAAACCTTGTAGGGAAACCTCATAATGCAGAACCAAAAAAATTCTAACACCAATACATACCAAGTTTACCGTATAATATATAAACTTGATCAAGCCAGGAAAATATAACAAACCTGAGTGCATGGTTGAGTATCATGAGAGTTGTAATCAATGTGTATCCATGGAAGAAGCCCCTGGACGTTAAAAGATATAATTTTAAACAACACAAAATTCAGGTGACTATGCTAGTAACAAGCTTGCACGTGAAACAGATATAAGAATTACATGAGAAGTGCCAACCCCCCACCCCCTGCGAAAAAAAAGGGGGGGGGGAGAAGAGAGCATAAAAGAGGAAGGAAAAGAAACTCTGAGTTACTTGTTCACAACTGCATCAAAATCTTGAACCAGTATAGCCATAGCATTAAAGATCATCCCAAAGACATACAACCAGAAGTTCTGCACATTTATGTTTCTCGAAGGACGCTTTTTAATTATAGCCTGCCAAAACAGAAGCAAATCTTATCAGTAATGAGTACTTTTAGGTCATTCAATTGAGACTTTCAATCAGCACTCAGTTCTGCACATCCTTAATCCAGATAATTCTTTATGAAAACAATCAACTCATGAATTCAGTCTTGACTCTTGGTCAAGGAAAGCTGGCTATGGAGATTCTCTAAATATGAATTAATTTTTAAAACATGAGCTGCAGCTCCAAATGATTGTGGTGCAAACTCTGCTTTGAAATTCACCTCAGTGTACACTCCCGCAAAACCACTTAAAAGTGCCATTACCTACAGAAGAATTACCACCTGTTATCATGCAAATAAAAAGGAACAATAAATGAATGCCTTCTATTGTACTATGAGCATAAAAGATGTAAACAACTCACAATGGCCATCATCCAACCTTGAAAAGGAGTTTGAAGAACACGGTCTGAACTGCAAATAAATTATCATTTTCTAAGCATGGAAATTCAATAGCATTGAAACATATTTAAATTTCACAATAGGATTACACTTACTAAGAAGTTAGGAACAAGGTTATTAAACCCTTGCTTCTCGTGCATGGCTATATCAAAATTGATTGGTAATAAAAAAATTTACCGACATTTCCAAGTACAAGATATTTTCAAAACCCCCAAAACATATTAGGTTTTTGATTCATTACAAACATCTTAGCTTTTATTTCAGACCAGGATCAATTACTTGACCACAGGTCAGCTTTTTGTATCACAATACAAAGACACAACATTTATTTCCATGAAGCTGAAACTATATACATGACAGTCACAGGGTAAAATGTTCAGAGTGCCAAAAGATGAGAAGCTGTGATGCAAAGAAATGTCTCTGGATCAATCCTATCATAAGAAGCAATTGGAAATGGGATAGTGATCAACTTACGTAGGGTTTAGTTGTGCAGTGGTACATCCAGCACATAAAAGTATGAAAGCAGCCCACTGAATCTCACTTAACCTGAAAAGAGTAGAAAATATAAATATAGTAGTCAGGAAAGAATGGCCTGGGAATATTTTCAGCTTAAATATCTATCACTAATTCCATCTGTTGACTAAGTTTAAGTGCTTCTTAAATAATATACCATCAATAAGGACAAACAGTGACATAAACGGAGATAAAACTTACTGTTTCTTAAGTATTATTCGATATAAAACACCAGTGCTAATAATATTGAGATTCTTCAATATCTGATAGCCCGGAGCATTGACATAAGCAAAAATGTAATACTGCCACACAGAAAGCAAATAAATACAATAAGATCTCAGGATGCAACTTAGCCTCACTGCTTTTACTTATAATTAACGAACAATTGTGAAAACCCACCTGAAGCAAATTCTTGACAAGGTAAAGTGCTGCAGGAATGGGGTAAACTTTAACTTCATCAAATGTTGTACTCAGCCTAGTTCAATAGAAGATTCAGATAGCATAAGACATTCAGAAATGCTTAGTTAATTTAATTTGTAGAGCAATTTTTAACCATTAGAAAAATAACAATAAGTGTCAGTATTAACTATGAAGTGATAGACAATCAAAATATGGGACAAAAAGTCAACAAACCAGATGTAGCATCAAACAAGAGCAAGACAAAACTCCTACTGACATAGTTATAAATTCCTCATAATTTAAAACGGAATAAAAGAAAAGGAAATCATTGAAAAAAAAGTAGAAACCTGTAAAAATTAACCTGTTATCTTCCGTGACACCTTGTTTCTTCCATATTCTTGCCAAGGCTGCGAGTGATAATGCACATTTCAAAGTTTCTACCTAATTATAGAAAGAGAAACAAAATGTCAATAGAAATAACAAACAAGTAGAACACCTGAACAAATGTTAGGATGTCCTCACCATGAAATTTGCAGTAGTAACACTATAGTCATACTTGCCAGCTCTCTTAGACCAAACAATAAGTATTGCTTGTGAACTTGTAAGAATTGTTAATGCAAGCGTAACAATCGTCCTATTCCAATCAAACAAAACAAAAATTTCAAAAAATCCAGCAATGACACTCCCCTCTTTTCTTCAATTTAATGCAAATATTTACAAACAATAACAATAAAAATAAAAATAAAAACAGCAGGCTCTACTTGCGCTTCCATTGCAACCGATCAATTGCGCCACCAGAAAAACTAGCAACAGTACTTGGAGAAACTGCAAAAATCAATCAATGGGAGCCAACAATAAGAAGCTGCATTTCATGCTAGAACCATCTCAAAAGCACCCTAAAAAAAGCATGAATTTGGTGCTTTTCGGCGAAAGGAACTTCCAACAGCATTACCAAACACACACTAACTATAAAAAAAATCGGTTTACCTCCTCTTGACGTTCCTATGTCTCCACCGACACCATCCTCAATATTATCCTACAAGTTAACAAATCACAGAGAAGTTTTGATCATAGCGATGCAGGTGGGAAAAAAAACCCTAAGAAAGTTGGAGATTTTACCTCGTCTTTGATTTTCCTGTATTCCATATCGCCAGACACTGATCTGTTTGGTTGCATTGATGGAGAGAACAGGGTTCTTTGTAGCAAGGAGATCTCTAAAGGGTAAATTAAGCAGTAAATTACAAATTAGTGCCTCTAGTTTTATAAAACAAATTAAATGGTTGTTATCGTTTCAAACATTAATTAATTAGTCACTTGATATTGTTGAACATCATTAATTTAATATTATTTTATTTCAAACTATGTCTTTTTTTTCTTGTCGATATTTCAATTTTTTTACTTATTTTCTATTTTTTAAAAAAGAAAATAAAAATAAATGGAAAAGAAACAAGAAGGATCAGATTACATATAGATTTAAAAATATAGAAACCAATTAATTAGTTTTTGAAAAAATAAGGATTATTTAATTCATTTTGTAACTTGAGGGACTAATTTATAATGTACTCAGGAAATTTGAGACAAATCTAACAGATTCTGAACACCAGCTCAGCTGTGTTTGATAAAAGGAGAAGAAAATGGTGAGGAGAATGAAAAATGGAAAATTAATTTGTTTTGGGAAAAATATTTGTGCAGAATATGGTTTTTATTTTTTATTTTCTTAAATCTCGAAGGGACCGGATATGGGTATTTTTTGGGCCCAAGATGGGCTCATCTGAAACAAAATTGGGTTTCCTTCTTATACCAATTGCTTTGTTTGATTTGATAAACGCAGTTTTGTAGTTATCAAGGGCGGGTTCAGAAAAAGTAAAATAAAGAACGACCAAAACATAAGAACGGTTGCCAAGGTGGACCGACCAGCTATGACTACAAAATTGGGCTCCCTTCTCAAAAGCTGTGTTTTTTCCTCGAAAAAGCCCATCTCAAATACGAAAACAACAAGAATTAATTCTTATCAATAAATAAAATTTTAAAATTCAAACGTTACATAAAAAATTCACCTGGAGGACTACTCGCTTACAATATAGAAGTTGAAATTTTGTTTTACTAGATTATTGAGGCTAAAAATACTCCTATTTGATTTAAACTGAAAAATCAAATCTAACTGAATCTAAATATCAATTTTAATTTGGCTTTTAACTCAAAAATTAAAAAAAAAATCTATCCTTTTTTTTTTTAGGTTTCGATTTGGTTTTTAAAATTTTTAGGTCGGTTTAAACCAAAAACCGAATTTTAGTTTTTTTGTTTGAATTTTTTTAAAGTTTTCAAATAATAAAATAAAGAAATAAATAAACTCAATACCTTAACATTATTATAGATTTATTATTAAAAGTGTTTTTGGCCAATTACAATTCCAGCCAGAAAATACTTTGTTTTATAATTTACTCTCAGTTGGTTTGATTTGGACCACACTTTCTTAGTTTTGGAAACAATTGACAAAAAAATAAAACACGGGAGGCAAATTGAAATTTCTTTACAAATAAAGGAGCCAAAATGAGGATTATCTCTAAAGATTTAACGAGGGTATTGCCTTTGCTTTTTAAAGAACAGAACGCAAGAGAAACAGCAGAAAGAAAGAAAGACAGCAGAAGACAGAAATCCTAGTAATTTTGAGAAAAATGGCAAGACGCCTTTACAAGTTGCATCATCTCAATACTGCCCAAAATAAGCTTTCAAAACCCAATTCAGCGATTCCCTTCTCGGTTCCTTTCTCCACCGCAGTCTCTTCTACACCACAGCCTGATCAAAACCACCCACAAAACGAACAAATCCACAAGCTTCAAGTCCTCTTCCAACACGTGCTGCAAGAATTTTAACAATTCACATATAAGATATAATTTTCGCATACAAGAAAATTTTGAAGGAGAAGAGGATTGCAAAGAATGAGCTAGTGCTAGTCTTTGATTATTAGATATATATTTATATATATAATTTCAACCAATTAGCTTAGTTTTCTCTCAAATTCTTTCAATCAAATATTTGAAAGTTTTGCTAGAAGTCTACTTTATAAGCTGTATCTTCTTTTCATTACTTTTCAATGTGAAATAAAAATCTCACTTAAAAACACTTTCAAATTTTCTTCATAATACATTTAATTTATTATGTAATATTCCTAAGATTTCTAACAATTCCCCATTTAGATAATAATGTTAAACCCTTATAAGTATCACGCATGAAAAGAAAGATGTCTCTCGACTCGAATCTCTTTTTAGTATAAATATCTCAAAGTCTTAACGAAAGAAATAGTATCTTAAACAATTAAATCAATATCCCTTATATTAAAACTGAAAATAACACACACGTGATGTAATTCAACTTTTTTTAGAAATTCTCAAAATTCTTTTAGCATTTATATAACCATGTGCTACATCCTAAATTTTCATAAATATTTTTAAAAATCGACCTTTGAGCTTTTACTAGGAGTGACACTAATTCTTATATTTATATAGGTGAAGTTCCTATTAAATTTTGAATATATTGATCATATTTCGTAACTTAATCTTTGTTAAGAGATTATAACTCACTTCTAAACTTTATTAATACCAGATAACTTGGAATGAAAGCATAAGTGAACTATCCTGTTACTTTCACAGTCACTTATATAGCTTGTTTTTACCCATTGAATTCGTAATAAGGAAACCGCCTAGACCCTCACCAAATCTCTTATTCTCTCCAACTCATCACCATTCTCTTCCCCTTCCCATCTCCTCTCCCTTTTCTCCATTTCTTGTCCTTCTTTAAAGCCCACTCTCATCGACATGTTGCTTTCTATCTGTTCTGAGTCCAAAATGCACCATCAAGTTGCGGAATTGTATGACTTTATGAGGCGAGAAGACCAAGTTCCGGCCTTTGGTTATGTGAAAACGATAATTGAATCTTTGGTGGAGTACAAGAAATATGATAACGTTATTGATTTGTTTACAGATTTTGTGGGCTTGGGTTTTAAACCCGATTCACTTATTTAAGGGAAAGCAATGCAACCTGCTGTGAAATTGGGGGATGTAAAGCGTGCTGCTGACTTGTTTGAGACGATGAAAAGGAGAAGGGTGAACCCTAATGTGTTTGTTTACAATGTTTTAATTTCTGGGTTGTGCAAGGAGAAAGGGGTAAGGAATGCAGAGGAGGTGTTTGATGAAATGTGTATGAGGAATTTAGTGCCTAATAAGGTGACTCATAATACGCTTATTGATGGGTATTGTAAGGCGGGGGAGGTGGATACTGCGTTTGATTTGAGAGAAAAGATGAAGAAAGACAAGGTGGAGCCGAGTATCATCACTTTTAACTCGTTGCTTAGTGGCCTTTGTAACGCGTGGAGAATGGAGGAGACCAGAAGGATGTTAAAGGAGATGGAAGTTAATGGTTTTATGCCTGATGGGTTTACTTACAGCATAATTTTTTATGGGTTATTGAAGTCCAATGATAGGGCAGTTGCTGCTATGGAATTGTATCGGGAGGCGATTAAGAAGGGAGTCAGGATTAATAATTACACAGGCAGTATTCTGTTTAATGGATTGTGTAAAGAAGGGAAAGTTGGAAAGGCATAGGAGATTTTGAAGTCCCATGTGGAACTTGGGCTTTTTCTTGATGTGGTGATATATATACTATTGTGAAAGGTTATTGTCAAATAGGTGATGTGGACAGAGCCATTTTGACTATCGAGCGAATGGAAAGTGGTAGGTTGAAGCCAAATTCCATCACTTTTAATTCTTTGATTGATAAGTTTTGTGAAATGCAGAAGATGGGCGCGGCAGAAGAATGGGTGAAGAAGATGACGGAGAAGGGAGTTATGCCAAGCTTGGAGACATACAATACCCTTATTGATGGCTGTGGAGGGTTGTGTGTTTTTCATAGGTGTTTCCAAATTCTTGAAGAAATGGAGAACAACGGGGTAAAACCAAATGTTATAAGCTATGGTTCTCTCATAAATTGTTTATGTATGGATAGGAAGATTCTAGAGGCAGAAATAGTCCTCGAGAATATGGTAGGCAGAGGGGTCTTCCCTGATGCAAATATATATACTATGCTTATTGATGGTAGTTGTACAATGGGGATGTTGGATGAGGCTTTCAGATTCCTTGATGAGATGTTGAAAAGTGAGATAGGCACAACGATTGTAACATATAATAGCAGAGGTTGGGCATGTCTAAAAGGCATTTTCTTTGCAACAAGAGATGGTAGACAAGGGAGTTCATCCAGACAACAAGACCTATAATAGCTTGATTCTGGGACACTTTAAAGAGGGAAAGTTGTCAGAAATAAAGGATCTTGTTAACGACATGAAGGCTTAAGGATTAATTCCTAATGCTGATACCTATAGCTTACTGATTAAGGGACATTGTGACCTGAAGGATTTTAATGGAGCATATGTTTGGTTTAGAAAAATGCTTGAGAACGGTTTCACTCCTAATGTTTGCATTTGCAATGAGCTATCCACTGGCCTAAGACAGGGAGGGAGGTTGCAAGAGGCCCAGATCATACCAAAAATGATTGCTGATGGAGACAATGATTTGAACACTAATGAAGAGCTGTCTGCTGTTGTCAACATGTAAGACATTCTTGGTATCAATAAGCTATCTGCAGATTATATATTTTCTCATATTTCTTTATTCACACATTAACAGTTTTTCCCTAAACAAACTATCTAATTGCATAAAAAAAACCATTGCAGACAGTACAACAGCACCAATGCTCATTTAATATGAGAGCAGTTGGAAAATGTGCAGAGTTTCCCTGTGGTTGCATCCTCAAGCTCCCAGCTACTTACCTCAAGTTTGCTTCGATTATTGAACATCCAAAAGACTTTTTACCTACAAAACTGTCAATTTAACACCCAAATCAGGATGCTTGCTATGTGCATGCATTTCTTTTTTTCCAAATGTTAAGTTCTTTGGTCATCTAATCACACAAGGCAAGTGTAACAATACCATAAAGGTCTCCAAGTAGTTCATTAGAATATGAAAGTCATACAAGCATGACAGTGATCCAACCCTTGGTTGAGCATAACCGCAAATAATTTCTTCAATGATAAGTATCTCTTTTGTCGCAGCTGGCATGAATGTCTGATGTTATGTTTCTTACATATGATTTCTGAAAAAAAATAATAATAAATAAATAGCAATAGCAATCGTTTCAATTTAATTTTGCCTAATTTAATCTAATTGGTAAAGAAATTATGGGTTGTGTCCTCTATTATGGACATCTCAAATTTTTTGTTAAGTTTGATTTTTGAAATGTTATATTTATAGTCCACGATTTGTCCTTTCTATTGTTTTGACCTTTCTATGTAGTAAGGTTTGATTGTGAATTTGTAGTAACGGGTGTTCCATAAATTGTGATTGCTTTGATGTTAAAAATTGATATATGCTTGTATGCTGAAATTAACAGTAGAATTGTCAATTTTGAAGGTGAGGGATGGTAGTGGTGGTAGCAATTTTGAAAGATGATTGACTGGTGTGTTTGGTTGTAGGATTTTCTAGGATATGCAATTATTTGTTTGTTTGTTTGTTTTAAGCAAAAAGTTCAATAGGTTAGATTATTGTAAACACCAGAATTCAGTTAAAACTTGATTGAACTGAATCCTATGGACACTATTTAATTGAATTCTTTAATTTAATTTTGAAGCAACACGACAATGGAGAGACCGCTCAAGTCTTCTGGCGAACTGAGTGTTTTGTACGCAACTTTCGAGTGATTGTTGCCTATGAACTGTTTGTAATCGGTGCACCAAGTGAGCTGGAAAAGTTGCAAATGAAGGAGAGAGGCTGAGTAGTGCAATTCATACTAATTCATAGTAATGTCATATAATTACAAATCATATGGTCATATGTCATGATATAGCTTCAGCAGTATGTTATTTTGCACCTTTATCCTCTGCAAGCTGAAAGCCAAACTGAAATGCACAACTGCAAATGATAATGTTCAAAATTTGATCTCTTTTCGTTTTTCTTGTTGTTTGTCCAATCCATGTGTCATTATACTGCATCCATGGTTTTAAAAAACAGCCATTACGTCGTGTAACGGGGCAACTCGTGACCGTTTTTCGGCATTATAAGGGCCTCAATGTCGTTTCACGCCTATAATGGCAGATAACGGCGTTACTGTTATGTAACGTCATTATTAGCTGTTATATAACGGCGTTATATATAAAAAATTTAAACTGCTGAAAAAAAAAACCAAAAATGCAGCTAGACATTTCTTATCTTCTTTTGCTTTCTTTCTCCTGCAATTACTAATGAAAAGGAGGGACTTTTTTTATCTTCTTTTGCTTTCTTTCTCCCGTAGTTACTAATGAAAGGAGGGACATTTTTTTTGCCTTCTTTTGCTTCCCTTCTCCTGCAGCTTACTTAAATTATAATGTATTTTATTATTTTTCATGTGATATTAAGTTATTGAAAGTGTTATTACTTACTTTTTATAATAAATTTAACTATTGTTATATGTTATTAAACTATTAGAGATATGATTACTTATTATTATATTTAATTAGTAAAACTGTCAAAAAATGTGAATTAGAATAAATTTATTACCAGTTGTTAATATATTCACACAATTAACCGTCACGACTGTTATTTTACGACTGCGATGAGCTGCGATCGCGATCGTTTTTTCAACTACGATCGCTATTTAAAACCATGACTGCATCTATTGTGAGCAATTTATACAACCATCTTCACATTGATTTTTCTTCATTTTACTTGGCACATTTCGTTAAATTGCTAAAGCTTATTCGTTGGGGGTTTAAGCTAGGATCTTGCTGTCTGTAGATAAATGGAAGTTATTATGGCCTAGAATATATTTATTCTGTTTGTCATCCTAGAAACTCACCTTGTTGATATTCATCTCTTATTCATTGGCATGCCATGTTGCTGTTGAGTTTTAAATTGACATCAATTAGTGAAGATGGAGTCCATTTCCATGCTTCTTCTCAAAGTGTAGTTATTACACTTAAATGTTTCGTTCAAATCATTTAAGTTTGAAGTCCATGTTTAGTTGGCATGCTAGTGATATTCACTTTTCTGCATCACCTCACACGAGGTTTCCCAATAGTCACTATAAAATCTTGTGACATATAGATAGATCCATTCCGGGAAATAATTTATTTAGAGTAGATAGGACACTTCAAAGGAGTAGACTCACAGACAGTTGAGAATCAAACTCCATAATTTCGAACAAGCTATGACATTTTCTTTTCTTCACCATTTACATGCTAAAACGAGGGACAAAAAAGAAATACGTAGATCCTATAATAGCAGAATAAATAAGATTGTTTCAAATATGCTTTGATCGGGAACCCTAACGAGCCTTGTTTTCTGTTGTGCGTCATTTGGATTTGAAAGGGATGGCCCTGATCACTATCTGGTGGTACAACGCTGCCAGTGCTGCTCCGATGAATGGTCCTACCCAGAATATCCACTGCACCAAAAACAGAATTAAACATGGTTAGTGCTTTTCCAAGACCTTACCAAGATGAAGTGTAGGGACTAAGAAACCTATGAGAGGCTTACATGATCATCCCAAGCTTGGTCCTTGTTGTAGATGAGAGCTGCACCAAGACTTCTGGCTGGGTTAATACCTGTGCCTGTAATAGGAATGGTTGCCAAGTGCACCAAGAACACTGCAAATCCAATAGGCAGTGGTGCCAGGATCTGACCATCCAAATTCAGCACTTTAGAAATCAATTTCAACGATAAAAAAAATAAAACTGACTGGTTTTTGCTTACAGGAACATGGGAGTCTCTGGCATTACGCTTGGCATCAGTAGCAGAGAAGACAGTGTAGACAAGTACAAAGGTGCCAACAATCTCAGCTCCAAGTCCGCTGCTCTTACTGTATCCTGTGTTGACACTGTTTGCACCACCACCAAGTAACTCGTACTGGCTCTTTTGAAAAGCTTTTACAACACCAGCACCACATATTGCCCCAAGACACTGCATTATCATGTAAAACACTGCCCTTGTCAAGGACAACTTCCTCGCCAACAGCAGCCCGAAAGTCACTGCTGGGTTGATGTGACCCCCTGCATCACCACACCAATGAGAACCCATTAGTCCCAACCACATTGATGATTAAACTATCATGTAATCTATAACTTAGCAGATAACAACTTTGGTTTACAAGAGAGCAGTACCTGAAATGCCAGCAGTGCAATAAACGAGAGCAAAAATCATCCCACCAAAAGCCCAAGCAATGCCCTGAATGCCAACTGTGGAGCACTTGGTGCGGGATTTTGCCACGCCCATCACAGTTAGCACCGTGATGTAAAGGAACAAGAAAGTGGCAACAAATTCAGCAATGCCTGCCCTGTAAAAAGACCATGAAGACAACTCTCCAGGTTCAAAAAGTGGTGCTGGAGGTGGCTCTGTATAGTCCTTGACATCTTGGGTTTGAGCAGCTGTTCCTATAGGTTGCCTCTCTCTATACCTATTTGCACCCACCTTCACATCTTCTTCTCTCCCCTCCATCTTCACTATATCTTTCACAGTTTATGAAAAATGAAGGTGGTCTCACTTGCCTCTTTTACTATTGCTTTAAGCCCTTTTTTAAAGCTTAAGCCAAGTGCATTGGATCAGTTGAGAGACTCGCAAGTTACGAGTAGTGAGATAGTGGGGTATTTGTAGCTTGAGTTTGGGACAAATATTTGTCCTGGGGTAGGTAAATTTCTTTAATTGTCTTCTCATTGATTGAAGAGGAAACTGAACCGTGCACTGTATTATCTCCACATGTGACCGACCCATATTCACTCCTTGAAAAAGTAGCTCCTAATTTTCCTGTGATATCATTAGAAGATTTTGATATCATTTCTTTCCCATGTGTAGCTTTCACTTTACTTCTACAACTTGAACTCATTCTTGCCTTTTAATGGAAGTTTGAACCATTTTTCCAAGCTAGCGATTGCAACAATATGATTGAAATGGCCACCCTGATTTGGAATGATAATGGTAGTGCTTCGCAACCCATATGGTAAAATATGTTTCTTTTGTACGTACTCATACCTTGAAACATTTCTCATTGAGGGGAGGGAGAGTGATACTTTATTAGGAAATAGGAATGGTACATTCTTTATTGTGTACATGTCAAGGGGCAGCGTAACTTGCTGGGGTTCGAAGGAAGATCCTGCGAAAGGTCTGCAAAATATTAAATCATGCGCATATGTTCATTAAATTTTTTTTTCTTATAACCTTAGTTTTTCATGCTATAAATAAAAATAATATCACGTATATCTATAACTACTACTTGACAAAATATAATAAGAAATTTTAATGCAATCATAAAGTAGACATTATTTCTAAATCTTGTAAAAATTTTATGTTGTGTAATTGTTTTTATCTTTATGCTTTGTACTTTTTGCTTGATTCGTTTTTTAACAGTATATACTGTTGCAACAATTCCTTGATCTTGCAAACTATACCACTTAATCCAGAATCACATCCTCAAGAATGTGAAAGTAGCTGTTCTCAGTGTTTTTTTCATTACAGATTGAGGGCTGGCCTTATTTTTCTAGGTAGCTTTGCATTCAAAGGAAAATGTGCTGTTTATTATATATCAAACTGGTCATCAGATTCACGTCACAATCAATGCTGTATGATCTTTTGCCATAACCTATGGTTTTTCGGTGCAATATATAGCCTGCTACATACATTCAAATAAAGTCTGTAAGTATATTACAGTCATTACAGAATGGTTTTACTAAATTTCATTATTGTTAGTCAGCATTATAAAGATCCGTTGTTATTTCATGTGAATAACGGCGAATAATGACATCACTAATATGTAATGCTATTATTTGTTATTATATAATGGTGATATACTAAAAATAAAAAAACAAACACAAAATTTTCTGTCTTTGTACTTTACAGCCTAATCACAAAAGGTTATTAATATGTTTAATTAATAAAATTATTAAAAATAATTTAATTAAAATAAAATTATTAATAGTTCTTATTGTATTTACGATATTAGTTGATGTAATTATTATTTTACTATTGTGATAAGTTGCGACTCGTAATTACCATTTGGGAATATTTTTTCAACCAGGGTGAGATTTAAAACCACTTGTCTGCTAAGTCTCAATGCATTCTGAGCACAAAGTCTTTAGAGTTTGGGTCTTTTTAAGGCAGATAATAATTGGAATAGATGGTTAATGATAAAGTTGGCTGAAATGGAGTGTACTAGTTAGTCATTCTTTTGTATTTTTTCAAATAAACATTATATCATTGAGGCTTATAATAATGCATGATGGGGTGGGATGATAGTGTCGGCAATAGTGAAGAAAATATGATTTAGCTAGCACTGTTTAAATGACTATCACGAGCTGAATCAATGGGACCAAAGAGTGGAACTTAATGAATAAAAATTTTTCAAATTTTTGGCTCACAAAAATAACACTAGAGTCGAGGGTGGCGGCCACGACCATCCTGGAAGTGGAGCTTCTTGTGGTTAAAACAAGGCCACAAGATCATAAACCCGCAAATGCCTGCCGAAAGATAGAGAGTAAGGACAACCGACTTCTGCCGCCCACATCTAGTCTGGATTTAATGCTACGAATAATTCCTTGAATACTGAATTATATCACCATTCAGAGTGTTCAAAAGAGTGAGCTCAGTTTTAGAGAACCTGTTTTTGTTTGATTAATTACATGGTCTAGAAGTTTTTGTAAAAATACGATTTAGTTAACTGAAGATATTATAGTCGAACTGATTTGATTTTCAAATAATTAATTAAATATTAAATGTGTTTTTGACGTTGATTTAATTTAAGAAATAATGAATTTTTTTTTTATTAATTTAGAAGTTATTCTAAAATCATAAAGAAACAAACAAATATTAATTGTTTTATGATTTTAATATTAATAAATCGAAACCATTTAATAATACTTGAAATGTATTTTCAAATGTAGTTAAAATGCATTTACCATATGCAGACATAAGAATTCAGCTGCTGGTCCATTTACTATGGATCCATATTTTTCCTGTCACCAGCAAAATCAAGGGTAGGAATTTCTGTCTAGTTAACTTTTCTTACACTTTCAGCAATATCTGCCACGCATATAGAAAATGAAAGTCTTGAGAGGCTACCCTCTATTATTATTATTTTTTTTTTTTCTTTTAGGATTCTCTAGGATTTTCTGTCTCGTTAACGTTTCTTACACTTTCAGCAATATCTGCCACGCATGTAGAAAATGATAGTCTTGAGAGGCTATCCTCTAACATTACAATTTCAGCAATATGTGACTTTCTCATTCCAACTTTTTTTTGCCTTTTCAAGTGGGAATCCGAGGTTTCATCTAAAATTTTATGATTTTTAATTAATGTATTTAGGGTTTCGATCTTCTTTTGTAGGCTCCACATGCAGTATTTTTTTTAGTGTGTTCACAGTTAGTTGGGTTAAGGATAGCAGTCTGGAAACTGACAGACACCAGGTTAAACTGAATGACTCAGTTTTCTACCATCTCTTCTCTCGTATCAAGAGTGTTAATAGCCAGATTAGTAAACATTTTTTTCAGGTCCACCATCTCACCACTCTGTTGAATCACAAAAGCCGGACGAGAAAAGGTAGTGGGAATGTGAGGGATATCAATTTTTTCATCATTTGGCTCTTGTTCATCAATCCGAGCATTGAGCCATCCTCTTTTCACGCTTCTGTGAGTTCATTCTGATGTAGTCTTTCTTAATGGGTTTAAAGTCCAAACCGAAATGTTAATCATATTTTTCATCTTCATATAGTTCACTCTTTCTGGGCTCACATCATGACTTGATGGAAACTCATATTTCATCATCGTGTATTTTGGAATAAATTTTGAGGATCAAAAACAGATGATCACAATACTTACCTTAAGTGCGATTGTTTCTCCCAAAGGGATAAAAGTCCTGCGTTTGGCTTTAAAGTACACACCAAATAATTTTTTAGGAGGTACTAAGTACTCTCGATAACTGTTCTAAGGTAGCGAAATTCCTTGTCGTATTTTTCTCTAACTCCTACGTTTGGTTTTAAAGTACGCACCAATTTTTTTTTTTCACTCATCAATCATTACTAATAATTTAATTATTTTCTTTAACTTTCCACTAACCTTTAACCTTTTAATTTATTGACATACCAAACAATTTTTTTTAATTTGTTCATGTAATAATTCATTTTTGAATTATATGTTAGTCTCTCTAGTTTTGTAAAATGAATAAATAGTATCTGTAGTTTTAAAAACTAACTAATTAGTTATTTAATCAATATTGACTATACTTAATTTAATATTAATTTATTTCAAAAAATATCATCTTTTCTCATTAATTTTTTCATAATATTTATTTTTATTTTTTACCTTTTATATTTCTTAAAAAAAATAAATAAATAAATTGAAAAAAAAGACATAAAATGGCCAAAATGGACTAATTAATTAGTTTTTAAAACTAGAGAGACCATTTGATTTATTTGCAAAACTAAAAAGACTTATTTATAACTTCCTCTTCACTTTTTTTAAGCTAGTACCAAACACCACCTTACATTAATGTCCTTGTAAGCCGATTACCATACACCGCCTTACAGTGAATGCACTTGTGAGCCAGCTTCACGATCCGCGTGCTATTTTTTGGTTTGCTCCACACATTTCCGCATCAACAAGGCACAGCAACCCCAAGAATATTTTCCGGTTTGTTCCACCCATTTCCATCCAGTAACTAATAGATGGATCGATTGTTGACAGGAGAGGGGATTTAATTTTCAGCTTCATGCCTCAGGTCTCGTCTTGCTATCTATGATATAATAGAATATCGACTAATATATTTTTGGCAATATGTAGGCTGGGTCAGCCCATTCCTATGAACTAGAAGGAAATCTATTAAGAGTAGTGGAAACTGGTAAATAAGGTGACAAATCGGCATAAGCATCATATCCTTATACTATTCAATTTTTAATTCTTCTATTCTGACATGATACAAAACGAACCCTATATTATTCAAAATTGGAACAAAATAGTCCTTTCATTCAATATCAGATCAATCAAATGATGACACGTGATTAAAAAAATAAATAGAAGGGCTGATTTGATGACTTGCTCAAATGACTTGTTCTGAACCAGGATGCAGTAACAGCTAACATTTCAAACATCACCCAACCACCATGCAGTGATAATATGATGTAGTAGTGTGCTCTGGAAAGTTTAATTTTGCCATGAAATAACATTTCTCTATAAGAATTCCATCTGCCACATGCATTTAATGTGTTCCATCCACATTAGGCTATTATAAACACTGATGTGCCTAGAGATAACTATGGCATTCTAATTAGATACAACAAATTTGGACAAATAAGAAGCAGCCGAAATCGTATGCCTTGTGGCAGCAGATATATGTCATTTCACATACTCTCCTCTCGTACAAATTTCAAAGAACTCCAAGTAGCTGAACTTACAACTGTATCTGTGACATTAACTTTCACCTTTCTATTGGTGTCAATAGGAGATTTCATCAAGATTACTTATTGCATTGCAGGAATTGACCCCCCATTTGCCACGATCTGTCGCTCCAGCTACAGCACCATAAAAGAAAGAAACAAAAATGAGAGATATTTACTTAAGATAAAAATCAATAATCAAATGTTAAAACAAATTCTGATATCAGACAAGAAAGCTGCTCAAACAGTTCTTGATCACCCAAAGGAAGGGAATTTCAAAGAAAATTCCCTATGATTCTTTTATAGCACATGATCAGACAATGGAAACTAAATCAAACTAGGAATTTCAATTACTGTGGCCAGACAGCAAAGATGGACATTCAACAGATGAAGAAATATTTTTCAAGTCATGTTTGAGAAATAAGCTAGTTTTCCCCTGTGGCATACCAGGAAAAATAATGTGGCATACCAGGAAAAATAATGTGGTGGGAATTCCCCTTTGGATGATCAAATCCTTCCTGGGAAACTAAAACTAACTTTGACTATAACTTTCCAAACTCACCGTGAATAAAGTTTGAAGGTTGGTCTTCAATTGAGCGTGTTCATGATTCACTTGTTGCAGACATCTCAAACACCTGCACCAGCATTCTCAGGTCAATCAAAATCCTCTGCAACTATCATAAGACTTGGGTAAAAGCCAAAAAAGCCAGACGATTAATACCCATCAAGATAAACACTAATGCACTTAATATCACAGTAGTAAATCAAGGCCTCAATACCTCACCAATCAATGATTTTTAACTTCAATGAGACAACAGAAGTTTATAGGACTTCATCCTAATTCTATAATCAGCCAAGGAAAGGAGATAGACAATTCCTGAAATGAGATATTTCATGAAAAACCTATTGAACTAATTGATTTACTGGTATTGTGATCAAATTATCTAAATTTAATCCACAGTTTTAACTTCAATGAGACAACGGAACTTTATAGGACTTCATCCTTGTTCTATAATCAGCCAAGGAAAGGACATAGACAATTCCTGAGATGAGATATTTCATGAAAAACCTATTGAACTAATTGATTTACTGGTATTGTGATCAAATTATCTAAATTTAATCCACCACCATCCACCTAAGGTTAATGATTCAGGAATGCAAAGGAACTCAGCTGTCACAGTACAAAATAAATGCACAAGAAAACTTGAAAAAAAAAATTGTGACTTTTAGAAAATCAAAACATAAATACTCAAGAATCTTATGATAGACAAACTTTCAATTGCAATTGGAAGAAAAATTTATGAATTAATATTGATTGAAAGGAAAAAATAAAAACTTGCAATGCAAAATGCGGAAGAAATCTCACCCTTCCCGGTTTTGGGCTTCACAAAAAGTTTTGAAGGCAATGCAAACATTTTTAATTCTTGCTGCACCTATGCTGTTAAACATAGAAAGCAATACTATAATCAAACACTATAGAAAAATAAACAAGTAAACTAAGACGTAAAGAAGTGATTCCCCCAACATGACTTAATATTATTATTACCAAATAAAAATGCTATGACTTGTGAGTTCCAAAATATTTTTTTGATGTGCAATTAAGGGTAAATAACTTTATCTGTCCTTATCTAATAGCATAAGTCTCTAATTTTATCACTATGTTTCTAATTGCATCTATTATATTTCTGAATAATGTTTAAGTCTTCAATTTATAGTTCCAATCGACCATTAGCATTTTTTTGACCGAAATACCCTTAATTGAAATGGAAAAAAAAATCTAAAGGCTTCAAAAATGTTTTTTTTTTTTTTTTGGCATTTCAAAATGGGCCATTTCAGTAAAAAAAAAAAAAAAAAAAAAAATTACCCATGGTCCGAAAAATTAAACTTAAACATTATTTAAGAACATAATAGATGCAATTAGAAACGTAGAGACATATTGGAAACTCATGCTATTATATAAAAATAGATTGAGATGTTTACCCGTGCAATTAAATTATGTTCCCCTCAGAAGCGCCTAAAGCACAAATGGATCAATCAAAAAACCTATAATGAAATAAGGATGTAAGTAAATACCTGGAACTACTACCTTTCAGTTGATGGACATGAGAATCCACCTGTTTGAAGTCCACAACCTGCTGTTCTCTGAACACAAAAGGGAAAAAAAAGGTCAATTTTGCAGGAGAACAATTACTTTCTCCCCATCCAGAGAGCTAGAAGCAAATAGCTCCACAATCAACTAAACAGCTGTATGTATATCTACATGAAATCCAAGGAAAACAAACTCACAGGGCTTTGGCCATATTGTTAACGAGCTTTTCACAGTCTTCAAAGAACAGAGAGACAACCTCCACCACAAATTCAGGGCTGCTCTCATCTTGCAGCTTTTGCAGCTGAGTAAACTGATCGTCCACAAAACCCTTCTCAAAACCAACAAAACCCTTTGTCAAAAACCTTAAAACCCCTTAATAGCAGTCCACAATCGGTTGATTTTCAAGGAAATAAAATCTTACCCAAGAAACGATTTCCCTTTAAAAAAATCTCAAAATCTTTCCTTAATTCCCCAAACAAAAGATAATCCATAAAACAAATCGTATCTTTTTCTTACTCATTCAAAATCAAATGATTTTGCCAGATTCAGAATATTCAGTATATATAATAATTGCAAACTAACCTCTCGATACAAAGAAGCTGTGAAATCGGCGAGCTGTCGCTGCAACTGACTGAGAAGATCCATGGGTCGGGTTGGGTTGAATTTCAACACTGACAAATTGATTAATGAGAAACAGGAAAAAGGAAGAAAAGGACAGATTTTATGGCTGGATCCTGGGACTAGCACTAGTATTATATATACAGATTAATGTAACGGAAAGTTGGGCTAAAATACTAAGTCGGAAAGGATGGATTGTTTTTGGAAATATTCAGGTTTTAAAGGAAACTAACTAACGGCTTTGTCGAAATTGGGCTAACTACTAATTACAGGATTTTCTAAAAAGAAATTTGCATTTTTAGAATGGCCAGTCCGGCCCGAGGGCTCAAACTAAGAGCTCGAGATTAGCCCGACCAATTACTAGGCCTGGCCAACAAGCTAAGAAAACAACGACCGGAGAGCCCGTCTAAAATCCTTCTAGCCATCTAGGTATATCTTTTGCATGGAGTTAGTCCTTCTGGTTTCAAAAAACAATTGATTAATTTTTCTTGTTTTAAAAATTAATTCTTTAGGTTTTTATATTTTAATTTTTTAGATAATTTAGTTTTTTATCAATTTTTTTTGTTAAATTAGTGATTTTTTTTCAAATTACCTTTTTTTATTTCTTATTTTTATCATCCATTCACCCTATTTCTCTCTTTTTAACCACCAACTAATTGAATAAATTGAGAGAAACACCATCGTGATGGTTGAGAAGAGAGAAAATAATTAAAGAAACTGAGAAAGAGATCACCATAATAATTGAGAAAAGAGAAAAAAAATGTGAAAAAGAGAAATAAGACATTAAAAAAAAAATCACTAATCTAATGAAAAATTGATGAAATAACTGAGTTATTAAAGGATTAAAACATAAAATTTGATGTTTGCTATTTGTTTTCTAGACTATTTTTAAAGAAATAGAAAAAAGAAGAGAAGAGTTATTGATATGCAAAAATTGATAAGAAAATAACACATTTAAAAAAATATATATTAAATTAAACATAATCAATATAGTTAAAGGATTAATTAATTAGTTTGGAACTAAAAAGACTACTTAATTTTGCAAAAATAATAATTAATAATTTACTCTAACATAGGACAACAATTTCCTACATAAGTTGGAAATATCGATCTTACTTCTTTAATGAGATTTACTTTCTTTAATTTTCCTTAACCTTTTTTTTAAATTTAGCAACGTTTACACTCTTTAATTTTCCTCTGATGCGAAGGACCTTAACTGCAGGGATCCCGGGCTTGGCTTAACCTTTACCTTTATCTTCTTGTGAGATTTAGCTGGCTCTCTCGAGTAATGGACTATCCTAAAATAGACTAAAAGCCTTTATGGGTGACTCAAAGCCTTTTCTTTCATTTACCTAGCGTGCGTTGGTTACGTACAAGTGAAAATGAGGCGTTGACAAGTTTAAAATTTGAATTCCATGAAAACAATTAACCGTCAATCATATAAGATATCCGAATAAAAATGCATTTTGTGTATACATGGATTTTGTGATAGAAATAAAGGTATTAAGATTTTATAGGTTACAAAATTAATATTGTAACATTTACATATCAGTCATTATTGGCAAATAATCATTGATAAATATCATATTTATATATTATTGTCACATGATGTCATGTGTAATATTTAGATAATAATTTAATTGTCATTAGAATTATAATTAAATTTTTATCAAATTTAAGAGTTTACCATAGTTGACAGTTTTTATTTATTTCTTTATGCAACAATAATCTGTTAGATAAAACTTGAAAATAGATGTATTGTCAAGTTTAAAATCCAAATTCTATACAAACCATCAACATTCAATCATATAAGATATTTAAATAAAGATTTGTCACGGATATACATTGTTTTGAGATAAAGATAGAGGTGACGAGTTTTGACGAGTCACAAGATCAATATTATAACATTTACACATCAATCTTTATTGGCAAATAATCATTGATACATATTGTATTTGTATATTCTTGTCACATAATGTTATGCATAATATTTAGATAACAATTTAACTATTATTAGAATTAGAATGAAATTTTTATCAATTTTAAGAGTTTGCCATAGTTAGCAAATTTACTTATTTTATCATACAACATTGACTATTAGACAAATTTGAAAGCAAGGGTATTGACAAGTTTGAAGTTTGAATTCTATATAATTCATCAACATTCTATCATATAAGATACTTGAATAAAGACGTGTCACAAATATACATGGTTTTGTGATGAGGATGTAGATGACAAGTTTTGACGAGTTAGAAGATCAATATTATAACGATTACACATTAGTCTTTATTGGCAAATAATCATTGATACATGTCATATTTGTGTGTTCTTGTCACATAACGTTATGCATAATGTTTAGATAACAAGTTAACTATCCTTAGAATTAGAATAAAAATTTTATCAAATTTAAGAGTTTACCATAGTTGACAAATTTTATTTACTTTATTATGCAAAACCGACTATTAGACAAATTTGAAAATAATGGTATTGACAAGTTTAAAATCTGAATTGTATACAATTCATCAACATTCAATCCGAATAAAGATGCGTCACGGATATACATGGTTTTGTGATAAGGATAGAGGTGACGAGTTTTGACATGTTGCAAAATCAATATTATAATGTTTACACATCAATCTTTATTGGCAAATAATCATTGATACATGTCGTATTTGTATATTCTTGTCACATGATGTTATGCATAAGTTTACATAACAATTTAACTATCGTTAGAATTAGAATAAAACTTTTTTCAAATTTAAGAGTTTACCATAGTTGATAAATTTTACTTATTTTACTATGCAACACCGACTATTAGTCAAATTTGAAAATAAAGTTATTAACAAGTTTAAAATTTGAATTCTATACAATACATCAACATTCAATCATATAAGATATCTAAATAAAGATGCATCACGAGATATAAATGGTTTTGTGATAAGAATAGAGGTGACGAGAATTGACATGTTGCAATATCAATATTATAACATTTATATATCGGTCTCTATTGGTAAATAATTATTGATACATGTCATATTTTTGTATATTCTTGTCACGTGACGTTATGCATAAGATTTAGATAACAATTTAATTGTCATTAGAATTAGAATAAAACATCAATTTAAGAGTTTACCATAGTTGGCATATTTTACTTATTTTATTACGCAACATAAATTGAAAATAGAAGTGCTAACAAATTTAAAATCTGAATTCTATACAAACAATCAACATTCAATTATAAAAGATATATGAATAAAAATGTGTCACATATATACATGGATTTTGTGATAAGGATAAAGATGACGAGGTTTGACAATTTACAATATCTATATTATAATCTTTAACGATTATTGATACATGTCATATTTATATATTTTTGCCACGTGATTTCATGCGTAATTTTAGATAACAATTAAATAATATTTAGAATTAGAATAAAACTTTTTATCAAAATCAACAAATTTGACTTATTTTATAACGCAACAATGGCTATTAGACAATACTTTACCTTTTAAATTTGATGGAAGTAAGAAGAAATCTTAGTTGTTCCCATTATGAGGCAATAAAAGGAGCCCTATAAAATCAAATTATCGCTCTCAAAATTTTGTTCATATTCATTGAACTAATGGAATCAGACTTTAACAAAAAATGCTCCTTTTATGTATGTATTTTTTAGAATTTAAAATCTTTATTTTTTATAATATGCAAATGCATGATGAAGAAGGAATGTATTGAAGAATTTTGTTACCATTGTTCTTTAAAATTTTAATGTTGAAATTAACATTGATAGATCTATTATTTTTCCTTTTTTGCTAAATCTTTTTGTTTTTCCTCTTATTTATCTACTTGTTAATTATTTATGTTGTTGTTAAAAATAATATTGATTCCTTCATGCGCAGCAAGTTCTTTAATTGTTTTATGGTTAATCCTTTTAGTGAGAGTTTTTGTTGTTAAAATTCTTTTTAGATGAAAATTCAAGCTATCTTCATAAAAATTGTTAAATCAAAATGAATAAACTATCGTTATTAATGTATTGGATACGATAAATCTAACTTTTATTTGTTAAATTCATAATATATCTCAATTTGAAATATCACAATTCAATTTACAGAAACTAATCCTTGATAATTGTACAAGTAAATTGCTCAATTTTCATACTTAATTTTTTTAGTTTGCAAAAAAAGTTAATATATATTAAGTATGGCGAGTGACATATGAGATAGAAATAATTCAAATATTAAAAACTAATTCGAACTTCGCAATATTACACAACTAGGGCAATTTGGGTTCAAACTCCAAAGTTTGTAAGGGATGTTTCCATTTTTGCAATTGTTGATGTGTTGAGTGGATGGCTCCGATGGTCAAAAAAGCTTTTCGTAACTTCAAATGGATATGGAATTGCTTTTTAGTATGGATGATTTGCTTATCTCAATGTTATTATGCGTTTCGGGACGGAAGATGTAGCACTTAGGTTCCAATTTTTACAGATTCCACCACGTGTTCGATTCATGACCAGAGAAAAATTTCCAGTAATTAGTTGCAAGGAAGAAATAAATGGTTATGATTTTGCTTTTTCTTTGCAAGAGGGTGAGAGAGGAGCGAGAGAACTCGCGCAAAGAGAGAGGGAAAGTGCGTTGATGTTTCGAAAGAATTAAAAATATTATTTTACGTCCCATCGAAAAACATTGCCGGGGTGCAGACTCTGCTGCCGAGGAAATAGAATCACTTCATTTTTAATTACAATTAGAGTTTGGATAAATTACAGATATTATGAACTTTAAAAATCATCTAAAAGTTTTCATATTTAAAAAAAAAAACCTTTCATATTTGAAAAAAAATTACAGAAACATTTTTTTATACCTAAAATAATCTTAATTACTATTAAAAGAGACTTAAAAAAAATTAGAGAAAAAATATATATACAAAAAGGGGACATGATTTTTTAGTACATGAACAAAATTCATTTCGCTATTTAATTTTTTTCTTTTTTTTTTAAGTTTCTTTTTAATATTCTTCTCCATTAATTTTTTTAATTTAAATATTTTTCTAAATAGTAATTAAGGACTTTTTTTATTATAATAAAAGGTTTATGTCAAATTTTTAAACTTTTGGATGATTTTTATAATTTTATATTACCTTAAAGGGGTTATTGTAATTTATTTTTAGTAGTTTTAATCCATCTATATATTTTGTTTTGTTGAATTAAATCTATGCATTCTTTTTTGTGTCTATTAAGATAGATGTTAAATATATATTTAGAATTTTTACTATGAATAAGTTATTTTTAAGTGTTAATCATACAACTAGGGGTGAGCATACAAAATTTTCGGTTTGCTTTTTAACATTACGAATATTTGATTTATAAAACTAAATTTCTTTTTTGGGTTTGTTTTTTTGTGAAATCCGATCTGTTTTTTCAATTTTTATTATTTTTTAAATAATATAAATAGACTTAAAATTTTTTATTATGGATCATATAGTCCTTCATCTAACCTAGCTAAATGATCTAAATTAGCTTTCATGAAAGATAATAAATATTTGTTTAAATAAAATACTATATTCATTATTCATGATAGAAATACAATCTATTTAACAAATAAAAAATGAAAATTTACACATGTCACTCAAAACACCATCAATCCATCATAAATTTACAATAATGTTAAAGTTTTATTTATTTTATTTATTTATTAATATTAATTTTAAAAAATAGAACAAATCAATTTTTGTTTAAACCAAACTTAAATTTTAAAAAACCAAACCCAAAAAAAGGGTTTTTTTTTTTAAAAAAAAATTGAGTTCAAACTGAACCGATGTATCGATTTGATTTTGCTTTTCAATTTAAACTAAAAACTGAGATTTGTCTAATTGCATAATAAACGAGAATTCAGCTTTACATTCTTAATTTTTATCTTATAATTATTTTACATAATTTTAAAAAATTCACTGTTTGATTAAGATTATCATACTCTATAGAAAATTATTTAAAATTTTAATTTCAAAATTGAATGAATATTTATTTTTTAATTGAAAAAAATTAGTAATTAAAAATAATATACAGTTGGATAATAAAAGGTTATAAATAAATATAATTTGGACTGGTAATCCATGATTCCTTGAGCCGAGACCTAGTTTTCTGGACTGGGTTGGGCTGTACAGACTAATTTCATTCCATCTCCAGTTTTGAACCCACCAAATAAATAAAACAAACGCTCCTTCTAATGGTGAGTAAATTATAAATAAGTTCCTTTATTTTTGCAAAATGAATTAAAATAGTTATTTTAGTTTCAAAAAATAGCTGATTGGTCTGCCTTTCATTTTATTTCATCTTTCAATTTATTTTGTATTTTGTTTTAGAAATAGAAAAGGTAAACAAAATAGATATTATGAAAAATTTGATGAAAAAGAAGATATTTTTCAAAATAAATAAATAGTAAATTAAATATGGTCAATATTGATTAAGAAACTAATTATTTATTTTTTAAAATTAAAATAAATATTTAATTCATTTTTCAAAGCTAAAAAGATTAATTTATAATTTACTCTTCAAATTGTAAGAGTTTATAGATTAGCTTTAGATTAATTTCATGAGCCAAGGCAGATATTCTTGGATTGGGCTGGGCTCTGTAGACTAATTTCATTCAATCTCCAGTTTTCAACCCACGTAACACACATTAAAAAAAAAAAAAAACAAAAACCTTCTCGTGTACTTATAAAATAGACTAATTTTTCAATTTATCCTTTAAAAAATATTTTTTAATATGTAATTACTATTTTACTTATATATCACTTTCCGGTAAATTTTTATCGTAGTTGATCATTTTTTTCCTTGGAAAAAATATACTAAAATCCGTAGATTGCAAGAATTGACACAGATGCATGTCACTTACCTATGAAGTTACAAATACTAATCCAATTTTTCTCAATTTTATTTAGAAGTACATAATTAAAAGTTTGATCCCATAAATGCAATCCGAAATTCTAAAAGATATGCAAATCCAGTGGGAGAATCCACTATGGAATTTTTCTACGTTGACTTTGCTAGGAATCTCATCTTTTTTTCTTTTCTTTTTTTCCTTACGAAAATCTTAGATGGCACTTCGTGTGGGTTTCTTGATGTCTGCCACAATCTGTTTAATCCATTCGTGTAATAGGAAAAAAGGGGGCAAAAGCTAGTGGAAAGAAAACGAAGATATTGAATAGGATCCATACAAAAATTTCACCGATACTTTTTGGCATGCATTGCCGCTATTTCCCACTATTCATCATTCTTCAAAATGCCAAGCCACGGACTTGAAACTAGAAAAAAGATTTCTTTTTGAATTTGGTTTTTTTTTTTTTTTTTTGAGTAAATTTCAATTTGTCTATCAAATTTCTCTAAAATTTTTAATTTATTTCAATTAGATATTGCATCTTTTATTTTTGTTTCACTTTTTTTAAATTTTAATTTGATATTTAAAATTTTAAAAAATATCTCAATATAATTCAAACAGTGAGGATTGAAGTTGAAATTGAAAAATGATGTTGTTCATTGAAAATTACAGTTGGTTCAAACAAGAATTGAAGTTGGTAGGATTTGAGAATTTATTAAGAAACTAACCCCCTCAAGTTTTATCATATTTGTTTTCATAAAAAAATCTATTGATTTTTTTAAATGTAATTAATTTCAATTGGTTTATTTTTCTTTATTTTTTTGGGTAATATTGATATATTTTATAAACGTAAAAGATGAAATTAAAGTTTTATACCTGACAAAAATGGACAGAGGGGAAAATTGGAAAAAAAAATTGGAAGATGTGGATTCGTATTGGAATAAAAATAAAAGATGTGGGAGCTGTTTGGAATAAAAGTAAAAGATATGGAACCTAGTTGAAATAAATCAAAGATTTTGGGTGAAATTAAAACAACACATAAACCTTTGAGGGGCAAATTGAAATTTACCATTATCTTTTTCATGTTTCTTCCTGGTGCCAAATCACATGCCACGTTTAATTTCGACAACGAAGGGTAAATTACAAAAATCTCCATGATGTTTAGTCTAATTAACAAGTACATCCTTTTTCTTTTTTTTCCTAAATAAAACACTTGCATCCCTAGTTATCAAGTCATTTGCCGAGCCATTCACTTTGAGTAAAATGGCTGAAATTTCTACATATAAATTTCCTATCAATTTACCAATTTCTTTGTAAGGTTTAGCCTACTTTGAAGAATATAGTGAAGTTTAGGGTTATTTTGCTTTTTACTTAAAATTTTGACATGTTAGCATTTAAGTAATAGCAAAATAATAGAAGGATTAAGGTACATAAAAGTCCAAGGATGAAACTGTTTGATTTAGAAAAAAACAAGGATGCAAGTGTACGGAAAGTTTTAGTAATTTACCTGAAAAAGATAGAAGGATGCAAAGCACAAAAGCTCCACTTTTTATAATGATAATAAGTAGGCATTTGCTTAGTCTCCTATTGCTTGCCAAAAGAAAGTCACAGATATCTAACTTTAATGAGCCAACATGAAAAAAGGGAAAGGAGCAATTCACGTGTAAAGGAAAAGAAAGTATTTTCCAATTCTCTCTTTTGATCACTCTCCTTTTTGCTATCAGATATCTCAGCTTTCAACTCTGTATATATTGTACAAAATCTCCCACGCCAGTGAATTTCGGATTTGTTAATTTCGTAGCTAAGATACTTGGAAATTTGACTTTGCTATCTAGCCAGCCAAAATAGTTTAAAAATCAAATCAAGCGCATACGTTGTCTACTGTTGTTGGACCATCTTTTTTCACTAACTTTTGTAGCGTGTGAAGCATCTTCATTGCCTAGTCTTAAAGCTCCTTTCTACAAAAATCCCCTTTGAAAACAAAAGGGTATCCACGAGTCAAAAGATACCACAATTTCGATGGTTCATGTAATCTGAAGAGACAAAATCGAGTTGATGATAATGATTAGATAATCAGTTCATTGGATCCCATCAATGGTGTCCAAATTATGGAGATTCCAGTTGAAAGACATCACTAGTTTTGGTAAGGAATCGAGACAGGACTTGTTACTTGTTTGTACCAGGTTCAACTATAGCAGTCAAAACGGGAATAATATGATCTCTGAACCAAATTGAGTGGGAAGCCTTACCTCGTTTAATTTTAGGTAAAGTGAAAAATTCGTGAATCCAACCACTCTTGACCAGAAATTCGTTTAATTTATACCCTGATGCTTACATCTGATATTAACACTAAATGTTGTCAAATATTTTTTACACTTACATCTCATATCTTAAGGTAAATCCTGTTCTAGAGCTTACATCTGATAGATTGAACACTTCTACACTAATCTGCTTTTCTTATATTTAGAAGAACTTGGAAATTAGCTTTGCAATTCATCCCCGATAAAGATAGAATAGCTCTACCGGCCCTATCTCTACACATCAACTCATGGGACTCCCTGGCCCCCCTAACACGTCAGCAACAGCAGTTTTCGAGGACTCCAAGGAAAGCCCTTCACTTCAACCCTCACGCCATCCGCAAATTTTCTATCACAATTACAGTCACAATAAAAATCACACATTTGGGTGAAAGCTTCATGGGATTATTGAAAATGAACAGATTATGGTATGTATATTTCATATGATGGATTATTAGAGATAGACAATGCGAAAAATCATGATTCATGTCAGTGAAAAATATATATACACTGATCGCTTGGTCTCTTTTTAAAGCAATTTTTACCAAGTACATAAATTGAAACTAGAAGCCTCTTTTTTCATGATTCATGTCAGTGAAAAATGATGAACAAGCCAAAAAAAGTAAACTAGTGGCAGTATTGATAGTAATAATTGGAGGTCCTACAAAACACAAATTCAGCTGTTCTTCAAGTTTATCTCGCTTGGTCCCTTGTCAATGCGAGTACAGTGTCACGTGGGGGATCCAATTGAGTGAAATGTGGCAGCATATTGGAAGATAAAGGCAGGTGGAGATTACGTGAAGAGGATTGGCTTGTTGGGCAGCTGTCTTGGCTATTAGGGTTTGAGTCACGTGACTGGCACGAGGGGGCCTCCCCCTCGAATGTCTGTCTGCGATAACTCCAAATTATTACCAAGACCTCCTCCACCCTCGAAAATGCTCCTTGGCTTCTCGTAGGATATGAGTATTTTCTTCAGTTGCTTGGAAAATTGTCATAAAACACCCTTCAAAATTATGAGAGATAGACAATCCAAGTCAAAAAAAAAAAAAAAAAAGAGGTCACCCATCTCTGTCTACAACTCAATTCTTAGAGGATGTAATAATGGTACTGTAAATCAAATTTGGTAGTTTGGAAATTCATGTATTGGCAATGGGCCCTAGTAAGGTAAAGGGTAGGCAATCTATTCGCTTCCCAGCTAAGCAATGACTAAAGCTTAGGCTAAGAGAAAGATGAGTCAAGTTGTTGGGGGAGGAAGCATTTAACTCCAAAATGGCTCTTATCCTCCATATCTAAGTGGATCCCACTAGATATCCCTTCTATGGGTCCTACATCCATTGCCCTACCATCTATCAAAGGCCTGGCTCTTGACAATGGACCCTCCTACATTGACCACAGAATCAAAATGGGCTTTCCTTCTCAAATTATTGTATTTATGAACTTAAATGTCAGATAATGGTCCAAATTGGACCGTTAACCGTCTAAAACGCTGTGCGTTCGAAAGAAAAGGACAAATAGAATGAATTAGGATGTTTCGAGGCAATATGATCCCAAAAATTTCAAAGTGTCCTCATCACCTTACATGAATATATGATCAAAGAAGAGTATGTAACAGGTAGATCTGTTTTTTTTTCTGAAAAGATTGATGGGCTATGAAAACCAGGAGTATTTTTCCCATTTAAGACTGGAGAATATATATAGCTTCTAACCACCGATTGTTGTTTCGTCCATGGACAACGATGTGCAATGAATTCTCCTCTAATTAAGCAGACAGGTGAGAGACAGACCCCATTGCTGGCTATTGCAATTTGCAAGAAGAAAGTGGATGAGGTTAGACTTTAGAGCATTACATTACCATTGTTGAAAGGAGCAGGTTGTGTTCTAAGTCGCACTCTCATAAGTAGGGACTATCTGCTTTGAAAGGTGCTAATGTAAGACTCACGATAGCTAGCTTGTATCAAATGTAACCGATTGTAAATAATGATGGTTTTACTACTATAGTGGCGGAGTATGAGATTGTAAATATTATATACGGAATTATGACTCAAGATTTATTTATCCTGAAATTTCAGATACATAAATAAAACATCTACATCCGATTAGTTTCATTTGCGTAACGATATCGTCAAGTTGAGTTTCTAGACAAAGCAGATTCTGAGAAACGATATGGTCAGATATATATATCTTTGTGGAGGCAAGCTATTCTATCTAGCAAAATTTAGACCACATTAAAAGTTGTGTCCTTCTCCTACACATAGAACTTATTTTCTGCAGCAGGAATGATCGATCAGGCCGGGTCACAATTATAAGCTTCATGTCACAGAGGAAGGACATCACCACATAGATAACACAAATGGCCTATGCATCTACATGTATAGGTACAAGAACATAAATAATATCTACAATTGTTGTCATTTGTTTTTCTATGTGGTACGTACCTCTACCAAGCTAGGATGTTAATTTCTTTTCTAGCTATAATAGTTTTAATTGTTTAATATTGATGATAAATAGTAAAACTGTATATATTCCTAATTACTAGGTGGAGAGTTTCAACTTTCACCTTGTTTTTTAATTATTTTCAAATTAAAATCAGCAGGGTCGTGTGTGGAATGGGAAGTACAGCCCACTAATAATTTGAATTGTATATGAACTTATCAATGTAAATGCCAACCCATATGATTCAGGAATTCTGTGCAAATCAAGAAGTAAATTAAGCAATCTTTTGACAAAAATATACTATATATACCATGTTAGTGACATTATTAAGTTGGCTAATTATGAACTAATAACAGTGTATATACTTTGTAAAGCAGTAAAGTCTATGACTACTTGCTATGATTATAGTCTAAGCTCTACGTATTATTCTAATCTTTTAGGTTAGATTTTTCAATTCAACAACGGTTTCTGTTAGTCTGGCAGGCTTTGGTATGATTTTGCTGTCACTTAAATTAGCATGCATGTGGTACACTATGATTACATCTTTAGTTTCTTAAGAATTTTGTTTCAAAAGGATAAAAAAAAAAAAAAAAAACGAAAAACCTAGCAACCACATAGACTTAAAAATCAAGGACAAAACACAATGTGTTTGACTAAATTAACTATAATTAATATATTATGAAATGATCTAGTTCAAATAATTAGGAGAAGTAAGTATCCAAGAATATTAGACCATATATGATCATGTAGTTAGGAGCGAGTCGGCACAAGTACCTAGTTAGTAATTAAGTACTTTTTAATTATTATTTTATTTCAAATGAAATGTTTGCACTTGAGATTTTTTGGAAAATGGAGGATATTAATATGAGTTGAGATACAGTTTATTGGCAATATGAATTTTTAATTTACATACATATTTTAATTGAAAAATAAAATATATATGTCTACTACCAATCTTAGTTACTAGTGTTGTATTATTATTATTGTCGTTGTCGTCTCCGGATGGAAACATGGTAAAAATTGAGAGCTAATTTTTACTTTAAGAATGGAGACTTATGGGATAAGCTTGGATGAGTAATTGAGTACCCAAAATATATCCATCAACTCTTCCAAGCGACCTAAGAAAATGAGAAGGAAACAAAGGAGTGGATTTCTTGGCATTTTGACTAAAATAGCATTACCGTACTGGTTTTAGAGATAAAGAAATAAAATAATTAAAGTACCAAAAAAATTTATTGGCAATGTTTCATCCCATCTTCCCATCTCTTTGATAATAACTAATAATATTCATATAAAAGATCTATCAAAACAATCCATCAAAAAAAAAAAAACATTTAATGCAAGCACTCAGCTATCAATTATTACATCACTAGCTAGAACTCCATCCTTATAAACATTTTGAAGGAAGTGTTTCTTTTCAATATGTAAAATTTTCTTTTATTATATATATTTATTAGAAACTATTCCAACAAATGTGTTTATTGTTTGGTTTTTGAAGTATCTTTTCTCTTTTTTAGATCCATAAGGTATTTCTAATTTAAAAATTCAAATTAATCATTTATTATTCAATCGGTTAGGCACATAAGATGGACATAATTATTCAAAGAATTTCTACATATACAAAGATTCGAAATCAAGACCACTTGCTTAAATAATCAGAACTCTTTTTGCTTAAACTAACCCTTTTAAATTTTGAAATATCTTATTTAAGCTTATGGTTTAAAACATGTATGAGAAATATCCAAGGTAGATGTTATAAACTAGCTAGACACACAATGGAGATGGCTTCCCAAGCATCCCACGTTAAAAAATTAAAAAATAAAAGGCATGTGGGCTAGAGACCCACATGGTTTCTGAACATTTAACACCATACCTATTGCTCGGGAAAGAAGGAAAATCCCATTAATCTTCTCAAAAGATAGCTAGGATAATATTGTGTATATTAGCCAGAAAATACTCAATGCTTGCCCAGACTTTGCAGCTCCTTTTCCGGCGTGCAATGAGGCCCCAAGCTCCCTATATTTTTCATTTTGATTTCAACAACATACGCACAAGTCATAGGATAATTAAACTCTTTATTTCTTTCTCTTCATCACTCGTATACATGCACAATAATATTGATATGCTAAATTGCCAGATATGCCAATTGCCAGGGACTTTTCAGACATGGCTCACATGATTATGTAACGATAAAGCCAGGCATCTGACAGCACTCTTAATCCAATGCCTCTTATTACTACCTTTCTTCGAAAAAAATCTTCTTCTGTGTAATTTTCTTCTTGGCTAGCTTTCTTAACCACAAAAACAGCTTTGCCTAACCACCAAACTTAAGTACCCATGTCAGTATAAAAAAATAAGGTCAAACTTTTCCCATGCACGTTAAGTATGCAAAGAAGTACTACAAAATCGCAATCAAAGAATCCAGTGCAAAGTTTGACATTTATTTGCAAAGTCATTGACCATAATACCAAGCAAGCCTAGCTAGATTTTTGGCATATCCTGATCTATGAGTAAAATAATTTTACTTCATTATATAAGTCATTAATCTGCTCTTCTAAGCTAGAGAATCAATATTTATGACTAAATTATAAAATTACTCTATCTCTTTCTCCTTTTAAAAAATGAATGAATTATTTTTTTTAAAGAAACTAGTCATTTAATATTTAATATTTTAATTTCATTAATAACTTAGTTTTTTTTATCAATTTTTTTTATTAAATTAGTGGTTTTTATTTTCCTCAAATTACCTTTTTTTTATTGACAAGAGGGACAAAAATGGATTAAAAAAATAATGGAAAAAAGACAATTAGAGAAAAAATTATTATTTTAACAGAAAACTGATGAAAAAAACTAAATTATTGATAAAATTAAAACATAAAAAACTAAATAATTAATATATAAAAAAACTAATTAATTTTTTTAAAAAAACTAATTAATTTATTTCTTGAAATCAGAGTCT